CTCTGTGGTTTTGTTAAAATTTAAATTTCGGATTTTTAATGGAGACTGCAAGTGTTATGAACATCATCAATAACTTTTATTCACTCTATTTTCACCACTTTTTAAATCATTTGTCACAATTAAAAGAGATCTCTTTTACGTTATAACATTGAGATTAATCTCGACTTTTATTTCATTTTACACCTTTACTTTGGCTTCAGTTTTTCTGTTTGTGATTTTGAACTGCATTGAATACAGCCGCAGATGTGCTTAAAGGAATGCTAAAGTTACTCCGACATGGCAATTATTAAGCGAGGTATTGCGCCTAAAAGTTTTTTTAATTTCAAGTTTTGTTTCTTAATATCGCCTAAAAACAACATTTTTCTCATAATTGCATAAATGCAGCAAAATGTATTCTCCTCTCGTTTCTCCTTTCGACAAACATGCAGTCAAACTTTACGTTTACGAATAACTTGCATCGAAGCATACAACTCATTGATCAAAAAAGTTTTAAAGCAGACATAACGCTGTTTACGTTTTTAGTAAACTTAGTTGAACTATGTGTGAGTGGAATTTTTTGAAAATTTAATAAGCAAAAGATTGATTTTGGAAATGAGACGCTGTGTCGAGGTGATAAATTATGCTCCTAGTCCTATGTCGCTCATAATAAATTGTTAAATGTCCTGTGCGGACGTCAAATATGAACTAATACTGCACTTGTCAGCTTAAAAGATAAAGTTGTTATCGGTGCTAAGCTAACTAGTAAATAATATTAAGTTTAATTAATAAGTTAATAAGCACGTTCGGATGCATGCTTGCCTTGAGAAAATGAATTTCGTGAAACTTGTGTTTCTAAAGTTGTAAGCAGTAAAATTGCAAGCTGAATACAAAATTGTTAAATGTCCTGTGCTGCGTTATACCTAGCTGGCTAGAATATTTTCCTAATTGGTTATTTCTAATTTTCCTTCGCTAGAGTTGCAGCTAGAACTGTTCTTAGCTTCTATAACGCATTAATCGGAGAGGTGTGATCAACTGTGAGAAATTAAAACCATTTATTGTTACATCATGCAAAAAATTCGATTGATAAATTAAATTAAATGCCCAGTAGGTTGTAAAATCAGCTTTAAATTGACATTGATGCATAACCATGTAGGTTACAAAAATTTACGTTAACGCTCTCGACACGTTAAGCAAATTAATTTTTGTGCTCTAACAAACATTCACCCAAAATTTACATTTTAAAATTCATTCCATATTAAACGTCATTCCTTCCACATGACTGCTTCCACACTATCTACAAGATGTAAATTCGCTCTAACCACACTTCAAATTTTGTTCTAAACGGGCGTAAATGAAAATGGTTTGTCACAAATACAAATTTTAAACATATTTTTAAACTAGTACATCTACATGGAAATATTCTCAGACCGTTCGCATTTTACGGCCAATCTCCGACACGAACAATTTTCTGCATAATTTGCCTGTTTCTATAATTCAAGATGGAGCTATGTTTTAATACAAAGCCATACATTTACATCAAAATGAGCCATAAAATAGCTGTTTCAAACATAACACACCGCAAATAGAAATTGTTTATTGCATTTCTTATTTAATACTGAATTTGACATGGTTTTCCTGATTCTTGAAATAGTTTTAGGGACTAATCAATTTTCGGAAAAAAATAATATCATAATGACACTAATGTATTTAATAAACTTTTTAAAAAGACATAAAAACAAAGTGAAACGATTTAAGAAACAGTTTTGTTTACATCTGAAAAATTGGAAAAATTACTTGGAGATTTTAACGACAGATCGGGAAGAAACAATAACACATTTTAAAGGCATTTTTGGAAACAACAAACGGGAAATTCATTTTCTAAATTACATTTTAAGAAAATAGAGTTCCACATTGTTAGTTATCAATGTCAACTTTCTAATAGGTGCATTATTTATTTGAATTAAGCAAAAAAATATAGAATATCCATAAATAAATACAATAAATAATTTTATTTAGTTAATTGCCCTTTGTACAGTTTGTTCTAAAAAAATTTTTTAAAGCACTTCTGACTAGTTTAGTATAAAAACAATTTAATTTGTTACTTTATAAATAAGCTCTCTTAGAACCGGGCCCATGCTAGTTGATTTAGAGCGCCTAAAAGGTTACTCCTTCGTTATCTAACATTTCAGTGATTGATGACACAATGATTGATCTTAAGAAAAGCTTAAAAGTATGGCCCTTATCTCAAGTTTTGGCTTAACATATTAGTTTTTTACACGGAAGATTTTTATTTGATTTGATTTAATTATGAAATATTTGAGTATTTGAAATTTATAATTACGACGAGAGAACTATTGGGTGCGTATCAAATAACTAAAATATTTACATTCAGGGAATGAATAGTTAGTGTAAAGTATTTGATAAATCAATTATGGTCTGGCCAAAATTCTCGAGAATAGGTTAGCAATGGTATGTAATTAGCATATTATCCTCCACCTCACATCCTGTGAGCCGATTTCCGTTGAAGTACGTTTAGTTTGAGCTATAACCATTACGATTTAGGTTATCTGTTAGTTCCCCAAACTGTTAAACGAGTGATGGCTATTGTCTATTAGTTAGTTGGTAGGAGATATATCGGTTTAGGATTTAAAGTTGAGTAGTGGAAATCGCTCCACGTCAAGTTAAGTGGCTAATTACATAGAGAAGTAGAATAACTATCGTGCATTACAAGCATGAATCTACGTTATGTGTAAAAACTCTTCACTAATTATTTGCTGGCGAGCTGTAAACGAATGTTCGTATGTTTGATCCTGTTTATTCAGCTTTTCGATATTGGTACCAATTCAACTTCAAAGCTGCAAAAATTAATTGAAATATACTGACCATCAAATGTAAGAGATCATTCAGTGGAAAATTATTTTTCATTTTGTGTTTTACAAAGGTCACTCTTACTAATGAACGTCCATCATTAAACTGTTTTACAAAAAGCAAATATCAGTTTTCAAAATTTAATGAATGACTGATATTACTTCGATGCAATTTAAGATACTCGATACTGAAATAATAAATCATTTTCTCGTTACAATATTTAATATAATCGAAGGAGAGAGGTAATGGAAACTCACATAGTTGCTTTACAACTTTACGGAGTTGACCTCAAACATTACATATAATTCATCAATGTAATATACAAAATTGAAGTTTATATAAAATGTGCGTTCCAGTTTAATAACGCCTACATTTTCTATAGCCGACTTTTTAGTTAATTTCATAAACCTATTAACGGTTTTCAAAATTTAAAATCAATAGAACACGCAATGTTTTCAACTCTACACCCATTACTTTATATTCAAATTGTAATTAAAAATCAATACATTACAAAGTGGAAGAATGTTTTATTTAAAACGCATTGTATATTCGGAGAAAGGACAAATTACTTTAACTTCTTTTTAACGACTTATTTGTACTTATATATTTATAGAATTTTTAATACACAGCGCTTACAGAATTGCTTTTTGTAAAAATCTTATAATGAACAAAACTTTAGATAACTTCACCACTAACTTTTCCAACACTTTTTTTATTTTTAAGTAGTTTTAAAAGACTACAATCCTGCAGCCTTCTTTCTGAGATTATTATGCTTCATATTATTTCAAAAGTGTTACTAAATAAAGTTGTTGTATAAATCAAAACTATTTTGCCTCAGTAAATTAAATTCTTTAAAATATTGCAATGTTGTCAACTGAAGAAATATAAACGGTTTCTATCTTTACCACTTGCCATGATAGCGTTGTGTGGCCATATTTTTTGGACGTAGTTAACCTACATTGTCCAAGAGTTGAAAAATGACTAACATTACTGAACATATTTTTTACACAAGTTAGACTAAACTTGTTGCTATTGCTCTTTGAAGCAAAAACAATTAATTAACATATTTTCTACTTCGTGCTGGCACTGGTTATTTATCTAAATAGAGAAAATAGCGAGGAATGGACAATTCTTTTATTTATTTTGTTGTTTAATAAGAATACTTGTAATATTGCTAGTTGTAAAGTTTATACCATCAGTATTGAATAAGCGAATATACATTTATAGAAATTAAAAAGTGTTAACAATATAATTTACGCTGAATTGTGAAAATGTTTTAATCCAGTGTTTTTTAATTAGATTGGAAATTTTCGTAAACAATATTTTTTGGGATTACATATCGGTTGTAATTTTACATATGATGCCAATTTTCAAAATTGCGCACTTTTTGGGTGGAGGAAATTTGAACTGATTCCTGAGTACTGAGTAGTGTCTTTGTAGGCGCTCACGGATTAAGTATTTCAAAGTATTTTAGGTTGAGCTTTACAATTAGCTGGAGTAAAAGGAGTAAAATTGATCGATTGTGATTTGATGTCGCTAAGCATTATTTCATTTGGTGAATTGAGGATTTGTTTTATCCGGGTGAAAATAGTGAAATGTTGGTTTAGATGGGGATATTTTGGGAAAGAATATTGTGTGAAAATATAACGGCGCTGATATAATTCTTAGGGAAATAGCCGCTATGACGAGCTTGGTGAACATTCACGCATACGCATATGAAATTTGCCACGGAGTGCAAAGCCATAAAATACCAGTAATTCCTGATACGCTCTGCAAATTTACTGCTACTGCAATTCAGAACGCGCTCATTTTAATAAACCCCACATATTCGTATTCATATTGCGTAAATTATTTAGAATGTACTCAACAAAGTTTATAATGTGTATGGCGTATATCTGACAGCATAAGGCGCTACGTCACGTCGAGACTGTAGACGGTAGATTGGAACCACCCCAACACCTGCGGCACTCGGTTACTGCCGAACAATTGAAGCCATCCCTTTATTGTTATAGTTAACCCATGCACCCTACGCTTTCCTGGCCCGGATTTAAAATCTAAATCCCATTCTGGAGATGTCATAAAGCAAGGCGTTTAGTATAGGAATTTATTATACGAGTAAAAATGCTTATATTCAGGCAGTGATTTGTTCGCAGGTTCCAGAATGGTGGAGATCGGTGCAACGTTGGACGGAATCGAAGATGCGAGTCTTAAATAGGCAGTGTGCGCGTCAGCTTCACAATATGACAGCCACGCAAGCAACTTTCCTTTTTTGCACTCTCTTGCAGGCCATTCTTACAGAAGGTAAAACTCATAACTACACCGATTTCGCTCTTTCATTTTCCTCCATTTTCCAATATTGGTTTTGCTAAATTAACAACGAGACGATTCTATGATCAACCCTCGCACCAACTTTTTACACCAATTGCTAGATTACAACTTTCCCAATCACCCTCCAACTCTAATGTTTTCCTCAAAAACTTCTCTACAAATTCGACATTTTCACCAATTGCACCAATTATACTACTCGTCGACGATTCCAAAATGTTTTCAACTATAACCGAATTTTCAGCAATTTTACAAAGAAACTGAACTCTTTGTTATTATATTAAAATAGCCGGCCGCACATAAATGCAAATTACATATTCTCTTCAAAACTGCTCTAGTCATTTCTGATGCAAAATCTTACAATCTTCACAAAAAATCCTCAATTTATGGTCATTTTATATAACTATATAACTACAGGAATTTCTCATATTTTGTAATTTTCATAGGCTGAATGCAAACAATTTATAATTAATAAAATATTTTTTAATTTATCGTTTTGATGGTTTTTATGGTTGTTTATCTAAAAGAACGTAAATGTGTGTAGTTTGCGATTTATTATATTTATGACAACATCGATAAAACCAGTCATCAAAAACCTCAGGTTAATTGTTATTACAATTCCACTCACTAATTTATTGGCATTAAATACAAAATATGAGAATACATGATAGCAAACAAACAAAAACAAACACTCACTTTGTCCATTTCACATGAAATTAATTGCTACATTTAAAGCAATTGAATTAAAACGATAAAAACTATAAATACAATTTTTTTCCACAATGTATCACACGTAAATTAGGTGTGTTTGTCACGATTTAAATTCTCATTCGCCACAAATACAAGGTGATATTTTAGATCAGACCTTTTGGGGTCTATATTCTTATATACGTCGGGCTAGATACGCGTTGAAGTCTAAATGTATTCGATTTCGCTGAGCACATTAGACTGATTTCAAGTGGATATGTTACTAATTGAATGTGGTTAAAAATTCGTTAACCATACTTGAGTGGTTTCGAAAAGGATAATTTTTCTTCTTTCCCCTCGGTAAATTAAATCTTCCTTAAATACCTAATTCACATCAGTGGTTAAGGTCGAAAAGCCATGAAAATGAGACGCATCTGTTACCGGTATGCCAGTGTTCACTTTCTTATCCCTCATGTTGCTCGAGAATGTCGTTTAATGTTGAAATAAATAAATTTGTTTTTAGCTAAATCGGATTAGTGCTCGTACAACTAAACGGAGAGAATACTACATCCCAATGTCGGATGATTTTCTAAACATGGCAAATTAAAGGAAGTTAATTTGGAGCTTATCTTTCGACAAACACGTTTCTCCTCTAGTGCGACTTCTTAGTCAGGTACTCTAGGTCTCGCGCATGATATGTTCACAATGTCAATTGTTTAACTAAGATAGTATACAGTTTCATCTGGGAAACTGTCATTATAATTAACACAATAGATTACTTGCTTCTATGTCATAGTACAGCAGTAAACTTCCCATAATTATTCCACTAGAAAACTAAATAAAAACACAACGAAAACACATAAACAACAAACAAATTCGCTGATCGATCCCAATCTTATAAACACAACCAAAATTATCGCCCTAATCGGTGATTGTGTTTAAACTCTAGTTTGTTGGAGATCGGTGTGGGTTGCTTTTGTATTCCTACCACAGACACACTTTAATGATGTCCCCTCCTATATTGTCAATAGGAAAATATTGTCATATCCAACTAAAATTCAACAGTTCGCCATTAACTTGCACATTCCTTACACAAAGGCCTTTCTTCAAGCTTCCATAAAGTCTTCCTGCTGAAATAATTAATACCGAAAGCGATCAACTCGGTTCAGCAAGAAAATTGTTACTTCGACTAAAGCCGTAATTGCGAAAAACCAGTTTACACATAAAGATACATTTACGCGCCATTGAACGAGGTTTACTAAATACTCATCAGTAGTTAAGCTGTGCCGATTCTAATTCACTTCATCTGCGCATGCGCCATTTCCGGGAATTTAGACCCCCACTCCTGGATCCTGGTTCCAGGAATCCGGATCCCACTCCTGGATTCCGGGAATCCCCCACTCAAAATTCTGAGAATTGTGTGCTATTTTTGGATCATGATGTCATGCATTGAATTTGTCTYCGCATGCGTCACTTTGGGGAATCCCACATTGAAAATTATGTGAATCCCCATTGAATTTGTCTGCGCATGCGTCACTTTGGGGAATCCCACATTGAAAATTATGTAAATCCCCTGAATAT